TGGTCTGCAGGGAAGGTGATGACTTCAGATTTTTTTTAATGCAAAACGGATTGTTGCTATCGATTATTTTCGAAAGGGCCACGCCATCAAATTGTTGAGGCACTTAGAAAAGTCTATCAAGTACAAACTGTAGCAGTTTTTTTGTATATATATATGTACTAGTGAGCTAGCCCAAATGACTTGACTCACTTTATAGTCCACCAATAGAAGGTTAACCAATCAGAAGACGTAAAATATTCAATCCGTCGTGTATAAAGGCAGCCATTTTGTTTAGTCTATCCGAATGTCCAGTGCCAGCTTGTTAGATGAAGAGGAACAGAAGGAAGAACTACTGAATTACGCTCTGCTACTTTACAGGGATATCCATTGCTAACCTGAACAAAGCTTTCCTACTGTCTTCGAAATATTCACTGCTAACCTCTGGATTCTATACTCAAAGACGACCGTCATCATTAACAACACAAACTCCCAAGAAAACTGATGAATGTGGTTTTTGTTCATGATGACAATGTTATAGAAAAGAAGTCCTTGGTTTCTGTGCGTGACTATGGCTTTGAACTGCTTGATTGCCACATCTGTTCTCCTGATTTTCCCTCATATGACTATCATCTCTTACCAAAAATGAACAAAAAAAGACACTGGCTAGGAACTATTATGACAGTGAGGCTGATGTCATATCTGCTGTTGACGAATTTTTAATCAACAGGATGAAGACTTCTCTAACAAGAGGATCCAAACACTGCCACAGGGTTTTCAAGGTTGAATTCCTAAGACAAAGAAGTAATGCAATTGAAACTTATGCAATATTGTGTATGCGCATGAACGCGCTCTGTTAATCGAACATACCGCGATGTAAACAAGATGAAAAAAAATCTTAAAAACTTCCTAAGTACTAATATATCCCCACATGATCCCAGTAAAAAAATAAATCTAATTAAATACTTTTACTATATTTAATAAACTAACTTAATCATCCGCAATAAATATTGTCTGTCAAATAGTTTGCAAATACCAACATTGTATATCAGTGCCCTTTGGTAAATTGCATCTACTAGAAAAAGGCAAATATACGTTGGATACACGACAATAACATTATCAAAGAAAATTACACTTCATATGTCGAGTTCTAGTTCGATTGCAAAACATTTGAAGGAACATTCCTGTCCATGTTCACGATTTAGAGAAATATTAATCGATAATACTAGTATGCTCCACGACGAAAATAAAAATAAGACTAAAACTTAAATTCTGGAAGTCCCTTATATACAAAAATTAATTAAGTATATAGAAACATAGTTTTAAAATGTTTGTAACAGAAAGGTTTTAAAATATCGAAATTGTAATTGTTGAAAAGAATTTACAATTATAACAGAATGTTTTAAAACGCGTAATTAGAATTTTTAATAATGATTTTTACAATATAATTAAAGTTACCTCCCTTACATAGCAGTAAATTTTTGAATTAACAGAACGCGTCCATGTGCATGCACAAAAATTCATAAATGTCAATTCTTTGTCTTAGCAATTCACTCCTGAAGATAATCTTGAATGAGATTGAAAGTACTTGGGAAAATAAAAAGTATAAGAATAGCAGCGACGTCTTCCTCAATCAGTCCGATAAAGTCCTAACGGATGAAACGCGTCAGAAATAATTTTTTCCATTTTTTTTACTCAATACTGTTCTTGATATATAAAAATATAGATCGTTATCTCATATTATCTATCTATCTATCTATCTATCTATCTATCTATCTATCTATCTATCTATCTATCTAGTTACATTCAATAATTCCCTAACAAATGATCCTGCCATGATTAAAAATTCCAAAACTTAATAAAAATTTTCATCGTGAAAATCATTATGTTGTGATTAGAAGGAAAGATGAAAAGATGTTTTGATTCATAATTTATATTTTTCGATCCTTTTCAGAACGTTTGAAATTTTGGCTAAAAATCTTATTTTTCCTGCGTAAGAGGGGAAACCACAGATTAATATAAAAAATATTGGAATCTTCTTTGCGGTGAAAAATCACATGGATTTGGAAATTCTTGCAAAAGTCAAATAATTGTTGGATTATAATGAAACATTCAAGACTTATTCGTAAATAAACTTCAGAAATATTTATTTTTATAAAATGTCGATAAAAACACTTTTTTACATCTGTTATCCCTCTAAGTTATTTAATTTTAGGAAATCCTTTGAAATTAATTTATGTATCGCTTAATGTTTATATTACTTATACGCAGAACTCCTTGGAGAATTTAAACCATCGCTTATTTTTGCAAAACAACAAACAGCAGTCACCGAAAACCTGCATTGAATCAGAAAATAAAAATGCAATAAAAATACGACATTATGTAATTAGAAAAGATTTTAATTGCTTTTATGAATAACATATATTAATGACATTAAATCTTAATATATTTTTTCGGAATAATGGATTTTTACAATAAGAGTTTTCATTTTTTTTTAAATTTTCATTGGAATAAGCGACCACCCAATATTTAAAAAAAAAATTTATACATTTTTGCGTGTGCATAGACGTGCCGATATTTGTAAACACGGGCGTCCATACACGACGTTATCAGAAAATAAGAGTGATAACTATAGTAAATTCAAAGCCAAATTGCCTAAAATTCAGTTACACTACGGAGAATATATTCCGTAATTTTAAAGATTAACGGGTAGCTAAAAACTGCATAAAAAAAGTCGCTTACGTTATATTCCTTATATAATTTTGACAGTCGAAAGAAAATTAAATAAATTCTGGTTGTCACTGTTAACAACTTAAATAAACACCTACATCCTTATTAAAATACATATCTGCGTTGGTTTAAAGTACAATTAAGTAATAATTGTTTCATATCATATTAATTAAACTTTTAAATCAGAAAAATCCTCAAATAAAGTTTCAGAAAAGGATATTTTATTTTTGAATGATTTAGTAATAAATAGAATAACATTGTGCTAAGAGATGGTTAATAAGAGCGCTATCGATTTTTAGCGATCTCAAAAAAGAAAACCCATTAACCAATTTAAATTAGTTTTGAAAGACAGCAAAATATTATGTTAGTTGGGAATATTACATTTAGTATATTACCTGGAAATTAAAGTAAACTAAAATCTTTAAGAAAGATATTACATTTGAAAGAAAATCACTTTAAACGTTAGGTATTGCGTTTTGTTGGAGGTAACTATATATATATATATATATATATATATATATATATATAAGATCGGCATATTCATTGGCTACATTGGTTTTCAACCATTCTAATGGTATCTTCAGCGATTCGCGGTCAATTGATTTCCAATGATTTATTTAAAAAATTAATTTATATATATATATATATATATATATATATATATAAATTTATATATATATTAATAAAATGAGTATGAAATATAAAAATATGGAATATAAAATATTGAACATTGAGGGCAGTATAATAGTGTTCGATGTATAATAACAGCTATAATTTATATAAATATTAATTATACTGTATTTAACGCTATCTTTTAATCAGTACATGACGATTGCATTGTGCATGAGTACTGCCAACGGCTAGAATATACATATATATATATATATATATATATATATATATATATATATATACAGGTCTCTGTATTCGTCCCTTCAAAAGTGTGGATGGTCCCGCACGAAACATTCACCACTATAATCAAATCTCATGTGCCGGTGTCGGGCTGCTGGTTTCTTGAAACTGATCTGCTTGACCCTCATACGTCGAATCTCGACGGGAGAGTTGATTATATATATATATATATATATATATATATATATATATATATATATATATATATATATATATATATATATATATATATATATATATGTATGTATGTGTGTGTGTGTTTGAGATTAGATAAAACAAAAACTATGCTAATTCTAGAAGCGACAAGACTAAAATCTATATTCTTTATATCTTAGGAATGGCTAACAACAGTAGAAATCATCGTCTTAATGTGTCAGATACAAAAACTAGTAACTTTTCTTCTTTCATCAAGTGTCTTTATGATTCTCTCAAAAGACAAATACAATCAAACCCATAAACAGTGACAAACATCATTCTTCGGAACAACAAAATTCTCTTCACGTTCAAACATTCGTCGTTTTTATTATTTTCCTTATTCGTCTTCTTTTCTTGCCTTTTAAACATAGAAAGATCATTGTAACCGATACCGGAAGTATCCCGCAGTAAATATGGTGTACAATGTTTCTGTCTGTTATTCCGCTGTCTTATTTATTAATGACATTGCCCTCTCTGATATGCTATAAATCTTACCAACCCAGAGCGAAGATTGACAAGCCCACCATCAGCTGTAGAATCGGCTCCGCATGGAGCTATGACGAGCTGAATGGAACCAAGGACAATATTAAAAGCAACACACCTGTATCGATTCAAGTAATTTTGCCTAGAAACCTACAATGAAATTACGCGAATATTCACGCCTTCAGTTAAATAATGGCCATGATTGAGATATGTTCTTAAACGCCGCTTTCTGATTTGAATATATCTTCATTTGCATTGAGTTTGTGACCCTTTCACTGGCCACATTTGACACCTCGAAATACCTAAAAATGTACAGAAAATGGTTAACAGAAGAATATATTTTATTTTATATTACATCCGAATGATCCATGCTTTATCTTTTCTATTCGGATGTTATATGTAATATTTAGGACTGCCAATCTGCGTGTTTATCACACTTTGGTATACCTTACTTATTCAATGATTTGCTTTCATTTCCTGTCATTTCGTCTTTTTTTATGCAACCTTCTCCTCAGGATGTGGATCATGGCTCTCCTCGATTTCATACTCTTTGTATCACTTAGGTATATTTGCTCAGTTGCTATCTCCTCCAGTCCCTGTTCTACCATCTATTTGCACAAGATTTTTAGGTAATTTATTCGATTTGTCCCTTTTGTCTTTACTGTGTTCTGTGAGTATCAAATCCTGCAGGCTTTCTTAGGCTTACAGTCATATCATATTAAAACATCAGTTCTCGTATGAACCGTGAAATTAAGCGAGGTTGAACCTGGCCAGTACTTAGATGGGTGACCGCTTTGGAATACCAGGTACTGTAAGCTTTGATGTGCACACAGTATAACGGATAACTGCTCAGAATTGGAAATCGGAGAGCCGAATTCCAATTCCAGCCGCAAATACCGTTGAAAAATCTACGAATCAAAGTCTTATCAACGCAACTGTGTGTTGATTCGTAGGACTTTTATGAGTACATCATTATTATCTTTAAAAAAATCTCACTGTTTATATATATTTTCTGTTTTTAAATAATTTGGAAAAAGGTTGAGAAACCGTAAAAAACAAATCACTCACTCAATGAGTTTCTTAATCAATCCAGGCTACTTTTCCTATTTTTTTTCAAGAAATTTCATCTGACTTACAATGATTCTGATTAAAGTGACTGTTTTGATCCAATTTTCTCAAAACTTCCATGTTGCTCACATGTTTCGTCTATGTCTTTCTCAGTATAATTCTGTAGAACCACACCTATGTTATCTCAAGTTTCTTCTCTATCTGTGTGGAAATTATCTCCTGTTCACTACTATATAGAATCATTTTTATAGCAAAGAATTTCAACGCACATTTCTTTGTTTCTAACGGGATTCTCCTTTTTTTCTTACATTTGATTTAGTATTTGAAAAACAGCTTTGATTATTCCAATGTACCTTTGGATTTCTGTGTCAAATTTTCTGTCGTATGTTACAACAATTTCAGATAGTTTGATTTCTGTACATGGTTGATCTAGACCTTCTCCATTCACAGCTCGTAATTTGAGTTTTCCCAATTGTTAACGGCCGAGCTTGCAAAATTAAGAAACTTCTACACGGCCGTCTATACGTTAGACATCCTTCCTCTTTCTAAGTCTACCTTGTCTCACTTATTACGTTTCTTTCTCTTTAATTCTGTCTCTTACTATATCTTAATCTCTGTTTCTACCGAAATTTCTCTTTTTTTGTCAATTACCCCCTTTCTTTCTCTTTGTTTCTTTCTTTCTTTTTCTATTTACATCTTACTTTCTGTTTCATTATCTCCTTTTCTGTTTATCTTAATAATTCCTTCTCGGATTCACTTTATTTCCACTCGGCAAACATTACACTCACAATGACACACACAAATCTCCCCCCTCTCTCTCTTCTCTATATATATATGGGGAGTTATAGAGTAGAAAGTAAGGAACAAGTTTCCTACCCCATCGTCGTTGAAGAAACTTTCCGAAATTCTGATTGAATAATTGTATAAAATTCCATTGGAAACAATTCAAAACTTATTCGTTTCGAATCCACGCAAAATCAAAGCAGTTTTAGAAGGTAATGGTGTTCTAAAACCTTATTAATCAATAAATATTTAAACTAGGTGTTCGCTTTATTTTTTCTAACATCTGTATATTACTTTAAGCCTTATTATCGTGCATTATTCATTATAAAAAAATTGAAGTAAATAAAAATGTGGGATTGAAAATAAATAAATAAATTCTTTAGAAATCCATATCTATATACGTAGAGAGTGCATATCCTTCTAATAAGATTTCGCGTAATTCAAGCCGGCAGATGTAAATAAATATACAGTCTATATTTCTGAGATGAGGTATTATGTACAGTATTTACATTAGACGGACTATTGTCCTCATCTTTGTCGCCATATTTGTCACAACGTTTCCAATCACCTGAAGAAGGCCTGAGCGTACAACGGCCGAAACGTTGTGACAAATATGGCGACAAAGATGAGGACAATAGTCCGACTAATGTAAATACAATAAATATACTGTTTAATAAATAAACAGAGCATGGATATCCCATAAAAATACAGTTTAACTAATAACGTTTTACGGATTAATAAATAAAGGACCATTCCTCAAAAAATATATATTATTATATTAAGATGGATCAATAGGTGCAATTTTATTTGAATTAATTAATATTCATTGCTGAATTAAGTACATTGAAAAGGATGGAAATTATTTCGAAACATAGGTATTTATTAAATAAATGTATTCTTCGCCATGAAGCAGCTGACTTATTGATAGATTCCATACTTGCAGCATAGCTCCCCAGTGGTATATATACATTTTCATATTTATTGCAGAGGTGTGACTACAACGGCACAAATTACACTCACAATCACACATACATACACACACAATTATGTCTTGATATATATATATATATATATATATATATATATATATATAGCCAACTTCTTCCATACTTGACGTTTGTATTAAAAAGGGTTGAAAGCCAAAAGCCCGTCTCCTGTAATATTATATTGCCTCTTGATTATATTTCACTTTATTTTACTTCATATTTTCTTTGGCCAACAGTCAAAGTCGCCTGCAGCTTGCCAAAATCTCGTTCCAATGTCGACGAGTTAATGGATCTCATTGCAAAATTTTCGCTCTCTTGCTGCTAAATTTATCATTTCAACACCCAAATCACCCGAGGGCAAGAGGCATTCTCTCAAGTGGCCGATTTCTCGAAAATATTGCGAACTCGACAGGAAAATTCTCGAGTGGTTGCCTATAAAAGTCTCGACAAATTGCAACAGTTGTGAAATCAGTTTGAACTGATGGCTGTTCTCTACCTTTTACTATTTTCATGCGTCATTGTGCTTTGTAACATTCAATTTTACCCGGTTGTGAAACCATTTTATAAAGGCAAATGAATATGTGGCTTTAAGAAAAAAAAACATTCCATTCATTAACACAACTTTAAAATGTTCTTACATGAAAAGGTAAAAAATTAAACTAAAACTAAATATCTCAATATATAGCTGCATTAGGATTATATTTGCTGCCATATGTAATACGATCAGTGGAGATGATTCTGTGATATTTTTGTGATCAAGTAAATGGTTAAAGAAATAACAAAACAAGTGTTGCAGATATATCATATATTAAAAAGTAAGTACAACAGAAGAGTATTACACGACTAGTGAGTGTGTGTCGGTTGACTCAGCGTTCAATCTATTCGACTGTTCCTTCTCTTCTACTAAATTTATAGTAGGCAGAAGAGGAGGACACCACAACAGATATATATATATATATATATATATATATATATATATATATATATATATATATATATATATATATATATTTGGTTGGATAGATGTGAGTTTGTGGCCCTAGGTTTCACGCTTTTAGCGATCGTCAGACAAACTGATTAATGTTTTAAAAATTTGGGTTTATGTAGATTGCGTGTATTAAAAATTATAGCAATCTCCAACTACCATAATTTTACACAGAATACCTATTATCAGGATTTATACCAAAATAAATTAATACATATAACAAAATAAAACAAAAATAAAATAAAATACCAACAACAACTTTTTAGTTCAAGCTACCACCACTATAACTACATTAATGGTTTTATCATTTCTCCACCACCGTTACTAATCATTTCTACCAATTTACAATTTCTACCAATTTACAACAACTATTAGCTAACTATCATTGTCTCTAATCCCTTGAAACATTACTATCACAGCATATCATATAGACCCGTTATTAAATTGAACTACCCTCTCACCCAGCACATTGAATATTAAACTAAACATCACCATATAAATTATCCAATAAGGATTACAAATTTCTACCTGTTACATATACACAGTCACCAAAAACAAACAAATAACCAGCTTTAAATATAACAAATAAACCCCCATTTTTTTTTCCAAAAATTAAAAAATAAATATAAATAATAATAATTTTTACCTATCATAATTTTACACAAACCCCACCACACGCATATACATACATGCGAGTAAATATTTTTCAGTGGGAAAACACTTAATATGACATGTATACAGTAACGAGACATTTCCGCCACACTTCCAATGTTTAAATTTCAACATTTCAACATACAAATGCGTATATATAGACATAACACCACCCGTATAAATACATGTGTCATAGCCGAAACTGCCCACATATGTTTATATATGTATGAGTCCCGACGGACGACCAAGTATGTATATGTGTCTGCATACATCGATGTTTGCGTTAGTACGATGAATGACAAAACGACGAAATTTCCCTCACCACTTCCACAATAACACTAATACAGGCAATCTACATAAACCCCAATTTTTTAAAACATTAATCAGTTTGTCTGACGATCGCTAAAGCGTGAAACCCAGGGTCACAAACTCACATCTATCCAACCAAATATGTTAGCTCTATCTCTGATATTGAGCGCTTTCTAATAAGTACCGCGCATATAATATATAAATAATTATACATACTTATATTTATTTATATTTATATACACTTTTCACACACACACACACACACACACACACACACACACACACATATATATATATATATATATATATATATATATATATATATATAGGTAACTTTACTCGTCTCGAAAAAACCTTCGAATTTTTGATTTGCCAATAATCAAATCAATCTCGAAGGAAAAAAATGGTTTTAAAAAAAGAAAGAGCTAGGAACATGAAAATCTGTCGAAAAAATCGCACAGATACAGGTTCAAAGTCCAAAGAAAAAAATGACACGAGTAAACAACTAACTAAAAAGAGCTCAATACAACCGTAGAGCAGACCTAGTCAAACCTAGTGAGCCAGACAAATCTACCCAGGTTTCACCTAAGCGGATCGTCAGAAAGCTTTCCTGACGATCCGCTTAGGTGAAACCTGCGTAGGTTTATCTGGCTCACTAGGTTTCATATATATATATATATATATATATATATATATATATATATATATATATATATATATATATGGAATTTTCTTGGCCAGACGCAGACTTACTTATAAAAAATATATTTGTTCAACCTCTAGAAGTAGTGCTTGCAGGCCAGCATCTCCTGGTATACATATATGTATAAAAGTTTAACGCCCTTTTTTTTTCTAGTAGGGCAAGGCAATACATGTCTCAGACATCTACTCAGGCACATTTTTTCAACACCAGTGGAACCCACCTGTATTATATATATATATATATATATATATATATATATATATATATATATATATATATATATATATATATATATATTTCTTTCGGCCAACACATTTTAAAAAGGTATACG